TCAATCCAAAAGTAATATCTGTCTTTGTAATGACTATAATAAAAGCCAAGCCAAAGCCAGGGGATGACGTGAATGAAAATGCTGCTTAATTATGCCGGGCTGCAGCGCTGGCTGGGTTTGCCACTTCTGCAAACTTGCTCTGGGGTGACATTCCCAGGAAAGCCAAACTTTGTGTGGCCAGTGCTCCAAACACAGCCCTGAGAGATTTGGACAGGTGACATCTCCATCCAAGCCAGGTGGGGGTTTGGTGCACAAAAGGGTGTTGGATTTGGGCTGGGGCTGTTCATCCTCCTGGCAGGAACTGCACTGACAAGGGGCAGGGTGGAGGGGTGACTGATTCCTTTGGTGAGGGGTCAGGGCTGGGAAGAGGAGAAGAGGTGTTTCTAAATTTTAGGTGCCCTGGTGTTAAAGGCAGCCTGAGATTGAATGCCATGGCAGGGGAACACAGGGAGGGTTCACTGAACATCCAGCACAGCACCACGGAACGAGGCTGAGCTGGAAAAGGATGGATGCAGTGGGGCAGAAAACACCCCTGGCAGAGGGGAAAGGCCAGGGGGAACCTGAGAGGCCCTTCCTGGCACTGGGGATGGGGCTGAGGAGCTGACAGGGCTGACAGACACCGGCCCTGAGGGTTTGCCATGAAGAGGGCCATGACCAAGCAGAGGGACTGGGCATCTCTCCCTGCCTCTTGCCTTGTCTGGAGATCCCTGAGGGCATTTGGCACCCCCAGACACTGCAGGAGGGAGCACAGCCCTCCCTGGGCTCTCTCTGCCCCTCATCTCCTTTCCAATCCAAGTTTTGCCTGTGTTGCCCTTTGCAAAGGCACAGGTGAGTGGGCAGTGAGTAAAATATCCCTGGAATCCTCAATCTCCCTGCTTTGGGAATTGTGCTGCTGTCCCCAGGCAGCAGCAGAGAGGGATGGAGCACGGAGGGAGGCGGGTGCCAGAGGATGGCACCTGCTGCTGGGATGGAAGGATGACAGGCCTTTTCCTACAAAACACAGCCACTGTTTTGGGATCCCTCTGAGCACAAAGCTGCTCCCCAGGATGCTGAGAAGCAGGAACCCAGTTCACAGACCCAGCATGGAGCTGGTGGAAAACACGCCGCAGCCTTTCAAGGAATCCTGAGCGGATTCCTCCCCCACCAGCAAGGAAAACAGGATGCAGCCACATTCCTGCTCACATAGACAAGGCTCTCCACAGCAGCACAAACACATTTGCTCACTTCCAATTAAACCCTGGCTTTCTATCACCTTGCTGCTGATAAGGGTCTGATTAATGGAAGAATTGTCTTCTTTTTTTTTTTTTCTTTTTTTGGTTTTGTTTTTTAATAAAGTCTCTGCTGTTAATTGTTTTTTTCCCTCTCCCATTTCTCGTTTCAGAGGGGCTTTCGAGGAGGGCTGCTGATTGTGCTGGAAGTTGTATGGGAACACTTAGTCTCTTCCTGGTTTTGTTTCTGGGGCCAAGTGCTGCCACTGAGCCCAGCGGGTCCAGTGGCCAAATCCCCTCCGAGGATCACCAGAAAATGCTGCCCTTGCACCTCCTGATAAACAGGAGCAGGTTCACGTGTTTGCCCAGGGCACAGAAAGCGCCAGAACAATGATTTGGTGACTTTTTGCCAGTGTTGTTTCCTCTGGAGAGGCGGCTTCCCCCGTGTGTCTCAGGTGCGTAGCAACAGCTCGGAAAACAAAGGGCAGCCCTGGCAAGGCAGCAGAAAAATATTATCCCGGGCTGAAGGGTGGGGCTGGGCTTTCCATGGAGCTGGGATCAGCCTCAACTCCAGCTTTCCATGGAGCTGGGATCAGCCTCAACTCCAGCTTTCCATGGAGCTGGGATCAGATCAGCCCCTGTCCTGGCTTTCTCTGGAACTGGGATCAGCCACAATACCAGTTTTCCATGGAGCTGGAGTCAGAGCAACCCAAATCCTGCCTTTCCATGGAACTGGGATCAGCCCCAATGCCAGTTTTCCATCGAGATGGGATCAGCCCCAGCATGGGTTTTCCATGGAGCTGGGATCTGCCTCAACTCCAGTTTTCCATGGAGGTGGGATGAGCCTTAACACCAGCTTTCAGGAGCTGGGATCAGATCAGCCCCAATCCTGCCTTTCCATGGAGCTGGGATCAGCATCAGCTCCAGCTTTCCATGGAGCTGGGATCAGCCCCAACACCACAGATCCCACTCCCACAGAGTTGGGATCAGCCCCACCATGGTTTTTCCATGGAGCTGGGACCAACCCCAATACCAGTTTTCCATGGAGCTGGGATCAGCCACAACACCAGCTTTCCACCAGTCCCAGCCTGGGCTTTCCAGGGAGCTCAGGTGAGGAGTCAGGCCCTGCAGATGCTGCCCCTGCAGAGCTGTCCCCAAGCCCCAGCAGGGACAGGTGGCACTTGGCCCCTGGTGTGTCCTCGCTGGGCAGTGCTGGAGCAGTTCAGCCCCGCTGTCACCATCCCTGGGGACACTCCCCAGGAGACAGAAATGACTGAGGGAGCAGAAATGCCTCAGACCTGGAGCTTCCCCCTGGGAGTGCCAGGGAGGGGAGCAGAGCCAAGAGCTCAGAGGGACAGGATGGGAAGGGGAGCAGCGAAATCAGGGCCTGATAAAGCAAGTGGGAATTGTGAACAGGGAAGGAATGAGCCCCTCTGGGCCAGGGGCTGGAGAGGTCTGAGTTGATGGGGACAGTGCTCAGCTACAAAGCCCTGTGTGACTCACAGCAGGATGTTCTTGTGCTCTCGGGGCTGGTCTTGTGTGTGGGAAACCTTCAGACCTCCCTGTGCTGCTGTGCCCACCTGGGCACCTGCTGCTGGGGACACACTGACTGTGAGCCAGCCCAAATCATCCCATTGCCTCCAGAATCCCAGAATGTGCTGAGCTGGAAGGGACCCCCAAGGACCATCCAGTCCAACCCTCAGCCCTGCACAGGCCCAGCCCCAAGAGTCACCCCCTGTGCCCCAGAGGATCAGCCAAAGCCTCCTGCAGCTCTGGCAGCCTTGGGGCTGTGCCCACTGCCCTGGGGAGCCTGTTCAGTGCCCAACCAG